AGGCTAAATTATTTACGACAGCAGTAATGGACAATTCTGCTTCCAACCTGTAGGGCGACCGCTGAGGAAAAATCACATGGTGTTGCTTTAAAGTGTTTCAATTTAAGGAAATTTGGTTTACTTTTGCATTATGTATTTGAGTCGCCACTTGATATCCATTGTAAAATCTGGGCCTCGATAGAAAACTTGATTCAACAACTTGCCTGATACAACAAGGCTTGTTATCTGGAATGATCAGTTGGATTGAGGAGGGAGGTGTGTCTCAAACCAAGATAAAACACCTCTTCAGTTCATCTTACCCATTGTACATTGGAAGAAAAAGGGAGAATTTGCCAGAGCTGACTTTTAAGGGGGGACAAATCATCGAGTTCATTGAGTTGTCATTGAGTTGTCATTGAGTTGTTTTAATAAAATAATATGTTTCATTTTTTCCAGGAAAAGTGGGAGGTAGAGGGTGCATTATAATTGCTGTGTTAAAATGATATAGCAAATGTTCTCTTGAGAATAACATGCTTGATAAGTGTGTAAAAAAAAAGATGTTCATCGATTTTAACATAAAAGAAGGCAATGTTTTTAAGTCAATTAATTATTGCAAGAAAACGTCTTGCCTGACTTCTGCAAATTGTTGCCTTTACCTGCATGGTTTGAAACTTTTAATACTGTGTTATGTATGTGTAACCCCTCCACCCGTCCCGAGTCCCACTCGACCCGCTCCGAGCGGGCCTCGAACTCGGATCTCCGGCATGAGAGTCAGGCGCTCTAACAAGGAGGCTAAAGACTGCAGCTTCTAGCATCTGTCGCATCTACTAGCAACTACTAGCTGGCCTCCGTTACATATGTGTCTCATATTTTCTGTACAAAATGTGCATGTCATGGAGAACAAAGTTCTTGTTATCATAATCTGCTGACAACATCATATGAATATTCATAATCAATCTATTTCTCATGAGACAAAAACATGAAATAGGCTAGACCTCAAAATTTGGTACACAACATGGAAAAACCCAACAAACTCATAATTTTGAGAGCAGAGGAACAAACTCATCGTTAGGGTCCTGTTTCCTTGGTTGCCATAGTCATTCATTGTTTCATTGTCTAATTGATTAGAGTCTCACCTGGCCGGCTGGCCCTCATTGCCACTGTGTATTTATACCCTCAGTTAGCTTCTGTTCTTTGTCTTGTATTAATGTTGCTCTCTGAATGTTATCTTCATTTGTTACTGGATTATCGCTGTTTGTTTTTTGGTTTCTATTAAATACTACTAATCTTCAAGCCTGATAATTCTGGATCAACAAGCGAGCAGGTGTGACATTTGAGCAAGCGGATGTTTTCTTATGCACACACTATACGTTTCTCGTGCACAAAATGTTCTTGTAATGTTCTTTTATGGACGGCCAGGTGTTCATTTTTTTTCTACAAATTGTCACTTTAGAGGCTTCGTATAATATGGACACTATGTCCTTCTTAAGGCTGGCCCACACTAAAAGATTTAAAAATTTTATCAGATTTTCAAAATGTGAGAGACCACAAACATGACGATAAAAAACCCCCATAGATTTAACAGTTTTGTTCCTATAGTGTGTGGAGAAGATTGAACCGAAAATTATGTTGGCATAAGTGGAGTCGCATTGGCATAGTTAAACTAACTTACCAAGTACAATTCCTTGTTGATCCTGGAACAGCATTCCAATCAACCAATCAGATTTGAGGGACAAGTCTACAGTTTATGTCAAGTTTAGGCTTACATCCAAGGTTAGGTGCTTCTACATCATTGTTATTTACCTATCATTAATTGATTTCAGGGATAACTTATGGGTGGGTTTATGGGAAGGACTAGGTTGAGGACAAAATTTTCGGACAGAAATATTGTTCCAGGAGCTTGTATTACTTGGCAAAATCCTGGTGACCTACTTATCTGACCATCATCAAGTTCAGTAGGAGTTGGCTACTCTCCAACACTTGTGGTGTACCCCAGGGATCCATTTTGGCACCACTACTATTCACACTGTATACGCTACCCCTGGGATCTATTATGAGTCAATTTGGAGTGTCGTATCACTATTATGTTTGAATCATCATGCAAGATCTGCAGCAGATAAGTTTAATGTATTCTAGTTAAAGGCCCAAGTGTGTACTCTCTATGTGTACTGACAGAGAAGCAGGCGATCTTGTAACTGAGCTTATGTAGTGCATCAGAGCAATTGAGTTTAAATTCCATTTAAGGTATTACGATCAGACACAGGAGTATTCAAACATCAGATCAGTGCATAGTGTGTTTAAGAGTGTTTGATGAACTGTATTAATGGATGTTTTAAAATGAAATTCAAATTGAGTTGAGAAAATGCAATGACAGTTACTCCTTAAAATATTTTTTAATGGATTATAAACCAAAAGCAAATTTAGTTTGTCCACAAGACACTAGTCTGTGAGCCATCTGGGAATGAAGGCGTCCAACATAATGAACTAATCAGGTCTCAGTAATGTCTGCCAGTTCCTTGAATCTCACCATGCCTGAGTGCTCTCTCAAATGCATTTGATGCAATTTGAATTCTACATTGAAGTATTTATTTTTAATGAATTGAATCAGAACTTGGTGAGTGTCCCCCAAATGCCCACTTCATTTAGTCTCAAAATGGTGAGAAAAGTACTGTAATTTTCAAAACACTCAACCTGAATTCTCACAGATTCTTATGGCTGTAGTAAAACACATTATGGATTCCAGCGATTTGCAAACAAAGGACATCTAGTTCTTCAAATGGACACCAACAACTCCAACACCAACAACAGAAAATGACCATATTAGTTTCAAATCCTTTTCAATACAATAATACCACTCTGTGGGAACTTCTTTTGAAATGGTGCTTTAAACACACAGATTCACTGTATATTGAGGGTATGCTCGTGACGTCAGAGATAGATCTGTGGATAACACATGTAGTGGATAAATCTCACAATTTTCATAAAACTGATAATATAATATAATAATATACATAAAATCCAATGCTGGATTTTTCAGAATGTCTTCCTCGTGGCTTATTTTCTTATATGGAATAAGGATTCACATTTTTTTCCTCCAAGTCTGATAAGATCTGTAGAATTATTTTTGATGAAAATATACCGTATGTTCATTGGACACTAAAATGTTAGTTTTTCCTCCAAACTAAATTATATTTTACAGTCTCTCTAAACTTCAACTTCGGTAAACTATTACATTTCAAATTGAGGAGGCTGCTGATTTCCATAATAAAAATGCCTGCCCATTTTCAACACACACTAAAATGAGCTTTATTTTGCCCAGTAGCCTTTTTTTTTTCTTTTTTCTCAGTAATATTTTTTTTATATCAACCATTAATCTGAAGTTTTTGTCCACGTGGAATGTTAGTTTGCAGAAGGGGTTCTTTTACTAGCCTGTTTTTATGGTTAGGTCATAAAAGTGATTAAACTAGAGATTTTCTGTACAGTTTCACAGCTGGGTCTGGGCAAAGCTTCAAATGTGTTTTGTTTTACTTGGCTGTACAATCAAACTGTGTTTGCATTGTGCATATATGTTTGAATACTGATGTTGCATATATTTTTGTTTCATGTACTTAGTGGCTTTTGAGGTAGAGCTTCTTAAGTATTGCATGCATTAATGCCCTCAGGAGTTGGGTTCCCAAAATGTTTTTCATCATAATAACTGAAAGTGCTTATGAAAACCTTGTTTGTTGTTATATAAGCACCTTTGGAAATGATATCCACAAAGGATAATAATATTTCTTTGATTTATTTGAATGAATGCGCAGTCAGTCTAGGGTCAATTCAAAGTATTTCTGAGTTTAAATTGCTTTGCAATGATTGCAAAATTACAGCAACTGATACGAAAGTCCTTATTTCCCTCTGTCCACAAAAATGAGAGATTCATGCGAGTGAATTGTTTCTTTTCTTTTTTCCCCCCAAAATAATTGGTGTGGAATTCCTTTTTCTCCACTGCAGCTAACCAGGGTGTTGGATGGGAAAACTTCCTGATGTTTGTGGGTTTGATTCAGGGTGAGTGATAGGCATGTCCCATGCCCAAACATGGCTTCTGCCAAGACCCTCATGAAATTCAGATAAGTAAATATGTCATATTACATTAAACTATTAATTTATCAGTTAGGAATAGAACAAAATACAAAAAAAGAAGAAAAACTACACCTTTGTATAACATACTGAATAAATTATATTCAGAATACTTGTCATTTTGTTGTTGTGCTTCTGTCTCTTGTATTCCCTTTCAGTTTAGTCCTTGATTACTCCCTAGTTAGTTGCCATGGTTACTGAATAGTTTCACGTCTAGTTTCCTTTGTTTGCCCTGTTTTTCAGTTACTCCTTGCCAGCATATTATAAAGAAAACGTAATTATGAGTTTCTGTTTACTAAAACATCCCAAAAAAGTGCCTCATAGTGCCACGTTATAACTAATACGATTAGGCGAATGTCACTGCAGTGCACACAGATGATTATTGCAGTATTCAGAATGCACCTGTTATAAATGCCACAATTTACTATAGCTATTGTAGTTTATTAAACTTGAGGCACCCCAGAAACCACATGTTTGGTTTTCAAAAGAGGCCAAACTTAATGTCTTCCAGCTCAGAAGGTAAAATAATAAATAATGGACTAGGTAGGCTACATCAACATGAGCGAATTCCTCAACGGTGAGAAAGATTAGCTGCTAAAATTCCTGAAGTGGACAGAGAAAATGTGCAAATAACGTCCTATTGTACCATATAGGCTATCTATACTCAAAAGAAGGGAATATAAAGGGACCTATACGAAGTGCGCTACTTTTAATATCATGCTGACATGAGCTGTCATGTTTCAGAGCATCAGTCGCTCCTCTGAAACTATAGGCAACACGTGTGTGTGTGTGTGTGTGTGTGTGTGTGTGTGTGTGTGTTTGAGCGCGCGTGCGCTCACCGGTGGGTGGTGTCAGCACGCGCTATAAATCTAGTAGGTAGGCAAGATTTTTTTTTTAAATCGCATTTTCCTTAACACCAGAGATTTTTCAGAGATGATGAAGATGATGCTCAGAATTGCTCTCTGCACTGAAATGGACTTGTTTTCATTTACAAACTCGGATAACCGCGCCTGACAACTTTTTCACTAACTAACTAAAGAGGCTGTAAAATGGCAAAACTGTTTGCTGATGCTCTTTTGTTAATTTTGAGTTTGTTAAACATTTTCACCGTGGGTAAGTGCTATTCTGAACCGCTGTTCTCTGTCTGAGTTTTACATGCCTATGCCTAAATTTATAGCCTAAGGGACATTCATTTTTTTGTAAAATTGTTTACGGGTTTAAGTTTTAACAGGCCTACATATTTTTGTCCTCATCACTGGCTGTATGTGGTGAATTAGTGGGTGAATCTCAGAAAATCTGCAAAGAACATGTCAATATCACAAGAATTGAGGTGAATTAAACCAAAGTAACCAAATTAAAGTTGATTTCAGGATGATTATGCCTTTTTGCATTGTGATATTATTTTGATGTAAATTATCCACGCTTTCTTTAAAATTAATAAAAACGGTTCCTCAATAATGTAATGCAATAACAATAGGCCTACTAATATAGAAAACATGGTTACATTTTACAACAAGGTTACATTTATTAACATTAGTTTAGTATATTAGTTAAAGTAAACAATGAAACATGCTAAGCATTTATTAATCGTAGTTAATGTTAATTTCAACATTTACTAATACATTATTAAAATCAAAAGTTGTACTGTTAATGGACATGTACAATGAACAACTGTATTTTATTAACTAACGTAATAATACTGTATGTATTGCTCATTGTTAGTTATTGTATTAACCAATGTTAGTTTTTGCACCATGGTAGTATTTGTTGTTATGCTTTAAATGTATGGCTATTTAAATAACAATTTTAGGTTACACTTTATTTTAGGGTGACATGGTTACATTGTACTAACTCAAAAAAGTAAGTAGGTCTAATATTAATTAACTTCGTGTTACTATATAGTTACAGTTATGGTTTGGTTTGGGGTTAGTTACTTATAATTATGCATAATTTACTGTTATTACTAAGTAAATGTATAGCGTGCAACTAAGTCATCTTAAATTGAAGTGTTTATACAATTTTAGTGTTTATACAATTGTATACAGTACGTTATAATCTAATGAGAAACGCTTATTGAAAATAATGGGAATTACAAAAAAGTCACAAAATGAATCATAGTCCCAAATTAGGCTAAATGTGTTATAATAATGTGTTATAATATATATATATGTGTGTGTGTGTGTGTGTGTGTGTGTGTGTGTGTGTGTGTGTGTGTGTGTGTGTGTGTGTGTGTGTGTGTGTGTGTGTGTGCCATTCTTGCTCTGTATTAATAATAATGATGCAATATTGTTCAAATTAAAGGTTTATCATTGTCCCGCACAGGAGACCTGCACTCATTTCAAGACTTGTCTGATGATCCGAACAATATTTTACATCAGCAGAGAGAAGCAGAGCTCATTTCAGCTTCACACACACGCACAAGATCCAAGCGCTGCACTTGCTACTCCTTTAAGGACAGGGAATGTGTTTATTACTGTCACTTGGGCATCATCTGGATCAACACCCCACAGTGAGTACATTTACAGTATCATCAATGAAAGCACTGACATAATACAGATGATCTTTTGCCACTGATGACTGAAATGTTTACATAAGTGCCACAAAAAGTGAATTTCACCAAATCTTATACAGTATAATAATCAATAATTTGATAATCAATTGCTCAATTATTTTTTTACTTTCAAACAAACCAATGAATGCTGTACACTGTATGCAAACATGTGTCAGCAACATATTATGTTACAATATACACACACACTTTTTTTTTAAAATTTGATTCTGAACATTCTGCAGACACACACATTCACTCCTCTGAATGTAGTATTATTGGGTAGGTCTCAACAAAATCAACCCCTGGGAATAATACACTGTAACGCCTGAGATTAAGTCAAGGATTCTCAGTCATGCTGAAGAATCCATTTTGCAAGTCTTTTGTTCTGGGCTGTCGCTTGATGAATGATCAACCCAGTGACCTTTATGTTCAGGAGCACCGGACTACTTAAAAGTAATAACTGGATATGGTTGTTCTTTCTTTTTTCTTGTTCATTCTATTGGACCAGTAGAGTAAAAGAACAATGAATATTCAGTAATTCAGCTTGGATTATTAAGGGGTTTGAGGATAAAAGCATGTATACAGTACAACCCCTGAAATTGTTTCATTAAGCTGCTAAAATGTACTATTAAAAGTCCTATTTTTTTACTAATTATATTAACTATTATGATTTTATATTATGTACAATTCATCCATGACTTCAATTAATTTTAGTATTTTGATAAATATTTAGTTGATCCTGTCTGACAAGACTGGAGGAGTGTCATTGACTTAATAATGTTTACACTTTGAAATATACATAGAGGCCTAAACTAAATTTCTAGTTTTCTGCAATACTTAGCGCATGCACATTTTGATGGGACTGTGTTTCCATGGTGACGGCTACTGTCCATGGTGCTGATGTACATAGTGCTCGAAAATTTAAGTTTGAATAACATTTCTTTTTGACGGCCAGCACAAACCAGTATATTTAATTCAAAATAAACCCTGTTTCTGTGCCCACTTGGCTCTATAGTGGCCCGAATACCAAAATAGCTAAAGGATTTAAAAAAGGAATCATACACAATACTTAATACTCTCTATTTAATTTCATAGACGGCAAACACATGATTAAACCATATCATATATGGATATAAATTTCATGCATTCATTGGTGTGCTAGTACACATATGACAGCTTGCAGTCAAGAATGAGTTATCGCTACAGTTTTTAGCCAAATACAAGAGGGATCGCCACAGGACTTTTAGTAGAGTGATTCAGACTTATGTTGAACTATTCGAGACCCATCACTCACCATGAAAATTGACAGGCAGTCCTTCAGGAATCTGCTCGGACCCCTGGCTCCAGACTCAAACCAAATGGTCAACATGAGAACAAACACTTCTGATGTGAGATGAGAAGCATGCGTTCAGAAAGAGAGTGGCTGGAGATCAGAGAGAAGCTCATATAAAGTGCATGGAAGCTTTCCCAGATGAGGCGGCAGAACGGTTTTTGGCCGTTGTTCCAACTCATCGTCTCCGTCACTAGAGGCAGTCTCTTAAGGTTTATCTCCAACAACGTGATTCCAGCTTTGTTTTGAGTGCAACAGGTTTCTTTCCTTTTAGTTTCTTTTAGTGCTTGTACAAAAACATACAAAGTATCGGAAGGTATTTTTCTACTGTATGACTTTCTTGCTTCAAATTTACAGTTGAAAGTGAAAGTTGAAGTTGGGTTAAAATTTTAAATTACATTTTTAACCCAACATTTGGGTTTGTCCATATTTGACCCAAATTTGGGTTAGAACAACCCAGCATTGTTTAGAGTGTACAGGTTTGAAAGGGCATGAGGGCGAGTAAGTGATGACAGGACTGCATTTTGGTGACCTGTCCCTTTAAAATACTGTAAAATACCATGCAAACACTGCAGACCACTGATTGGTCAGAGAGAATCATCACTACCAGCGTCATTGGATTTGAGACAAGAGACACCAAACCCACTGGATGTAAAGTCCCCCTTTAGTCAATAATTGCATCCCTTATAACTCATATTTGATCACCCAAATTACATATTTAAAAAAAAATTCCTTGAAAAACGACTCTTCATGCCTCAAAATTGTTTGAATGTAACTCTACACCCTTGCCTCATTTAGTATACGCGGTTCTATGAATATTCAAATGAGCCCCGCCTCCACTCACTCACACCGGCTCAGAGATCCACTCGTTGACGATCACACATTGACGTGATTGGTTACAAAGGTAGTTTGTGACGTCAGAAACACCAGCGATTTCAAACCGTGTTTTTGAGACTGTCTTTGGTCCACTGCAGATTTAAGGAGAAAAAACTCAGCAATGGTGTGTGCTTATGAATCTGCACATAGTTTGTCTTAAATCATATTAAAAACACCACATAGACATAAACAACATTAAAAACGGGATTTTCACCACTGGTGGATCACAGGAATAAATAACATTTTAAAATATATTAAAAACTTATTTTAAATATAAATATATAAATCAAATATTTCACAGTATTACTGTTTTTACTGTATTTTTTGATAAAATAAAGGGTGAACATAAGAGACTTGAACTTTTGAATGCTATATTCTATATTGAAACTTGTTCTCCATGTAAATATTAGCACAATTACAGATGCTATATCTGACTGGACAGTGTTCATCTGTGTGTTATGCCAGGGTGGATGAACTCAGCCCAGTTTGTGCCATGTGTGGTGGGATTTATATTTTAATAATCTGTTTGGCGTGATTGTTTATGTTCTGGCTCGACTTTTCTGACTTTGTTCTCTGTTATACACTATCAAAACTACATTTCAACTCGATTTACCAGGCCACCTGTTGTCTCAAAAGCAATGCCGTACCTCTTCAGCTTCAGTCCAACTGAGTGAGACTATTCTGAATATTTGTTGTCACTGTGTCACTCATTTTTTATTGAACAAAGAAAAAAGTTTTTATTTTGTGTAAAAAGCAAAACTAAAAAAAAAAAAAAAAAATGAAGGGAAATTAAAGCACATTTCATGTGCAACATACTGAACAGAAAGGTCATGTACACTGGACAGCATTAGGAACAACAACCACATTTAAATGTGCTAAAGAATCCCCTAATTCATTCCAGAATTATTATTGTTGTTGGCATAGGCAACGTTTATTTCGATAGGCCAATAGACATTCTGCTGACTATAAGTAACTTTGCAAGTAGTACATAACTATGAGTCATTAAAGCATTAGTAGACTGTCTGTTTAATATCGGCTAACACTTTATTTTGATGGTTCCCCAACAGACATTCTACTGACTATAAGTTACTTTACAATTACATGTCAACTAACATGAACCCATAACACCTAACCCTGACCTAACTGGCTACTACAGTCTACTAATACTGTAATGAGAGTTAGTTGACATGTTACAAAGTTACTTATATAGAATGTCTAAAGTGGACCATCGAAATAAAGAGTAACCCAGCGTTTGACATCTAGTGGCAATAGACAAGAAATATGGATAGCGACAGTTTAAACCATTATTTTATTGGCTATTAGCTATATTTGACCAATTATTGATTTTTCTTCTTTTTTTGTCATTTCAGAACCAAATCACTGTTAAAAAAAAAAGAAAGAAAAAGATATGATCAATAAGTCATGAAAACGTGTTTTTTTTACATTACTTTAACTCTTACTTAACTTTTTAATGTTATATGAGATTCAACTCACTGTTTTTTTTTTGTCAGTTTAATATAATTTAAGTTGAAATGACTTGTACAGCCAATTTGATTATACTTAAAAATTTAACTAAGTTGAAATAGGTGGAAATTATTAATAGTGTGCAAAGAAACACTAACTTTTGTCAATGTGTACACTGTAAAAAATATCCTGTAAAAAAACGGATTGCCAGCATTATACCGTAACAATACGGTGTGTTACTGTTTTTGTGTTCATTCATTTTTTTATTTTTTTTTATTCATTTAGCTGACGCTTTTATCCAAAGCGACTTACAATTGCTATATATGTCAGAGGTCGCACGCCTCTGGAGCAACTAGGGGTTAAGTGTCTTGCTCAGGGACACATTGGTGTCTCACAGTGGATTCGAACCCGGGTCTCTCACACCAAAGGCATGTGTCTTATCCACTGCGCCATCACCACAGCATATAGCTGTTAAATTGAAATTTTATACTGTAGCTGACAATAGGTATTTAGCTGTTAATTTCAAAAACAGTAACACACCGTATTTTTACGGTATGATGCTGGCAACCACAGCTGCCAGTAGTTTACCGTTTTTTTACAGGGTTATTTTTTACAGTGTAATTGTTTTATGAAAACATTTGATCATAGGAAATGAAATGATATAGTAAAAACAAGAGTTTGTGTCTGTTCTGTTCTGGTGTCTGCAGGCGCACAGTTCCCTATGGCATGTCAAGTTACCGCAGCCCTCAGCGACTGAGACGCTCCAGCGGGACAGTAGCGGTGGCGCTTCATCGCTGCACATGTGCTGACCACAACGATGCCCAGTGCTATAACTTCTGTGATGCAAGGTACACACAACTAATATAACAGTGCTATTGTCAAATATTCAAATAGCTGTTTTATACTGTATTACATTTTAAAACGTAATTTATTTTTGTGATGCAAAGCTACATTTTCAGCATCATTACTCCAGTCTTCAGTGTCACATGATCCTTCAGAAATCATTCTACTATAATGATTTGCTGCTCAAAAAAACATGTATTATTATTATTATTATTATCAATCTTGTGCTGTTTAAAACTTTTGTGGGAAAACGTGATACACTAATATTCTTAAGTTTGGGGTATGTAAGATTAACATAATAATAATAATACTTTTATTCAGCAAAGGACACATTCAATTGATTAAAAAAGTGACAGTAACATTCATAAAAAAAAGTCATTCTAAACTTCTGATGTCAGACAGATAAATACAATGGCAATGACCCCTCACATTTACACATCAACGATGCTTTACATAGTCTCTTTTTTTTTACTCAGAAAAACAATAAATTGATCAATTCTCAGATTCTAAAGAAAATCATAGCTGATTCTGAATTTCTGCTTCCATTATTATTCAGTGTGTGATACTGTATGGTTCTGTTTTGAATTATCAAGAACACAGAATGTACCAGACAGAAGATTGCGAGGACGTACACCTGGGTAAAAGCGCTGGCTTCTCGTCCCATCACGAGCCTCTGAGATAGGACTAATGATCAGCATCAAACCGGGCACCTAACTTGGTACAGGCTTTGGATTTTTACAGATGTGGAGCAAAACATACCCTGCATTCCTCTACGTGTTATAGTTCCTGGAACACCCTTTCCTCATCTGGTCCACGGTAACACGTGAATTCTTTTAGAAAACTCTTTGCAGATTTCGGAAGGATGTCTGTGTGGCACCCACATGTTTGCTAAAATCATGTCCACTTGTTTCAGTGTTTCACTCTGACTTTACATCTACATTTAATGCAAATACTCAGTGGACATCCTTTGGGAATTTGGGAGTCTTGCAGTATTGGAAGTAGACCTGCCACTCAACATTATCTCCACTTTGTGGGCATATTTTCAGAGAGCACACAGAGGGATTACTGTGTGAAGATGGAGTTGAAGTGGGTCTCGAATTTGTACGTGTACTGAGGCTAGTGGAAAATGAAACACTTAACATAGTTATTGTGGATGAACTCAACTCTAAGTCTCCTGAGAGAAAGATTAACTGCCACAATTTATAACCTCTAGATAATATCCTATACATTTTTGCTCATTTTATCCCGTCTCCACAACAACTTATGACATTTCATATTCCACAGATGTCTTTAAGATCAAATATTGAAAGCTAATATTATATACTAAATGGTCTAATAATCAAATACTATACTAAACTATGACCTGAGAGTTTAATTTATTTATGTTTAGGTACATAAACGCTTTATTCACCAAATCATTTAACCCTCTGCTATTGTTCATTAAGGAGTCACACTTGTGTTGTGATGTGACCAAACATCTGAAATGTAACATAATTGTGTTTAATAATATTTTTCCTTTTCTATTTTGAGAGGATGTTATGTTACTAATTAATATTTATGCAATAATTATGATAATCCCCCCTTGAAAATAATAAAGAAAACCCCCTAATTGTTTTACAATTATTTCTCAATTAAAGCTGTATTTCATGTTTAAATGGAGACAATCCACTTTTGAAGGCAGATTAGTGTAATCTGGTGGGAGTAAAAAACAACATCTTTAATGCCAAGGTGTAAACCCTAGATTATTATATAGCTCTACTGTATATAAAGAGGTTTGTACATTCTATAGTTGTTTTTAGAAATTAAAACTTCCTTTTATTAGGTTGTGGATTTGAATATGTATTCAGACATTCTCAAAGACTACTTTTTGTCAAGATTTTGATATTTTTAGTTTGAAATGTCAGTTTTTCCATTCATTTTATTACAGTCTCTTTTGCACTCTTGATATTTTTTAGTGTCACCCCATACGTTTTTTTCTGCATTGTGGCTGATTTATATATTGTACCCCCAAAAAAATCGTTATCTTTTTTTTCATATTTTTCTTTCATTTCCTATGGTGGTCAACACAAGTGTAACTATTTAAAAAAAAACTGTGACTAGCTTTTTTGAATCAAGTCCACAATTTATTTAATATTTGTTTGTGGTCACATAGCAACTGCCGCGAGAGTCACTGAGTTTCGACCCATTCCAATTACGATTTTTTAAAAATTCAAAACATTTTATTTTTCAACAACAGAGGGTTAAGGATACTTGCATTCAACACCTGCAATGGCTTATTAGCAATAAAAATTTGTATATAGTTTCACTACTACTTCATTTGCATTGGTAATATTTGTATTTGTTAAAGCTTTTAATTATTAAATTGTCATTTTAGACCGATATTAATGACAAGCTTGATTTATTATGAATTAGGGGTGTAACAATATATCGTGGAACAATATATCGCAATACAAAAATGCAGCAATATGTGTCGTGGATCGTTCACCCAAAATAAAAATTAATGTGTGAGAAAAAATTCAAGTTTACAGAGTTTTAGTGTCAGTACTACATTAAACTACTATATATAATGTTGAATATAATGTATAATAATGCAACTGGGGAAATATTTGTGTAAAAAGTGGCCTACATTATTTTGAATATATCTAGTCAATAATTATGTATTTTCAGCTTCAGAATCACAAATATTTTTATTCTGGTGTCACTATTGTCCTGTGCATTGGGTTATCAGCACCAAGTCCAAGCCTATTCATTTACACACACAATGTAATACCAAATTAGAATTTTTAACAATTTTTTGTTAACCTTTTATCTTATGTCTTGGAGTATCGCAATAATATCGTATCGTGATATGTATCGAATCGTGACATGAGGGTATCGTAACACCGAACTTTCAGAAAGTTCAGAATCACTGAACTTTTACACGAACAGTTCTGTATCATCCAAAGATCGTCCTTTACCGGTTTCACTTTCAAACTAACTGTTCCTGTAACAGTATTGGTAAATTGACAACTCATTGGAAAAGCAGTTGTAAAACGATGAGTAAACCATATTTTTTTAGTTTTACCAGTGCTTGAAACATTATTTTAAATAAACCTTTGCTTCTTTTAGCTACTTTGGTACAAAACCTGTTGTAAAAAAATTATTTTACAGTACATTATATCTATAAACTATGGAAGCTTCTTTCTGCCACGGAATAAAAAATAGAAAAGGTAATTGTGACCTTTTATCTCACAATTCTGACTTGTGAGATTTTAACTTATAAAAAGTCGCAAATTAAGTTTTTTAATTGTGAATTTATACCCCACAATTCTGACTTTTTATTCTCGCAATTCCAAGTTTATATTTCACAATTGTGAAAAAAAGTCCAAACTTCAGATATAAACATAAAAGATTAAAAAGTCTAAATTACCTTTTTTATTGCGTGGCAGAAACAAGCTTCCTTAATAAATTGTACTGCGATAGTGTTTGCTGAAACATGAATGTAAATGAAAATATAATGTGGATATATAAATGTTCTAAAATACAAGCAAGATACAGCATTTTCACATGATGCCATTTTTTTTATTCAAAAGGTTGTGTATAGTATTTGATGATCATTCATTCTATAAAATGTATGCCATTTTTTTTATTTAAAATTGTATTTATTTGCAGTCGGTTTAAGCACTGGCTTGTTCATCAGATTTCTTTTTAAATATTAACTGGTAATTTCACCTGCCCCGTTTCAATGTTTTTTTTCTGTGCCGCAGTTTGTAAAGACTTATGTACATAGTTTAGACAATTGGTCTTCCTGATATAAAACTCTCTCAGTATGTCCAGCATGTCCCTCTGCTCGTCTTGAAACTGAGGTTTTGGTTTAAGCGGTGGCAAATTGTGTGCTTTGCATTATTCATACAGTTCTTCAACATCTTATCAGAGACCCACAGATTGTCAGTTATGGAGTGTTTTTCACATCAGGCGTTTTCACAACATGCTATACCAAAACCCAAATGTTTCAACAACTGTAATTGTTAGAGATGTTGGATGAAATATACTTTTGCCTGAGAAATTGTAATTGTAGCAAAGAATGTGCTGGTGGTATTCTGTATTTCAACGACATTCCGTTCATGAACAAAAACATCTGATTTTGTAAGATGTGGCAACATTTAATCTTTGTCTTTGAATATTACATTTTTTGAGGCCAGCTACGGCTTTAATAAGTTAAAGGGATATTCTGGATTAAATAAAAAATCTGACAGCCTCTAGGGCTATATAAAATATCTGAGTTACTTTTTCAAACAAGTAACGCAAGTTCCTGTGTTTTCCCATTGACTGACAGCTATCAGCTATGTCCCTATGTTGATTTCTTTGATGAAAAATGAAGTTTAAAAGAAAACCATTTTGAATCCTTGCTGAATAAAAATGAGAATTTCTTTTTTTTTTTAAAGAAGAAAAAAATCCAGACCTTTAAAGGATGTGTTTAAATATTTCCTATACCTAGAAGCCTCTAGAAGAAAGCCAGTGCTATTATTTTGTAATTTGTCTTGCAACTGTATATGTTTTGAATATCAGTAAATCTGGTCTATAACACACCTGTTATATGGTTTAGTTTCTGAAAAACTTAATCAAAAGTGGATCCAGTTATAATATCATAACTGAGAAAACATTTCAAACCTGCAGTCTTTTGCATACTCATCAACTAACATAGTTAACGACTGGTATGGTTTCACTTATAGGGACTTGACTATAATGTATTGATCATTTCAACAGAGCTCAATCACAGTCCTTTCCCAGGTGCCTGTACTTAATACAGTCCCAGCATGCCTCTTGTTTTCATCCATGCTCCGGTGCACAAGTGGAGCGTTTTAAAAAACAAGGGCATGGTAATTGCTTTTAGGCATAAAGGGAATTTTTGATCCTCTTGTGGCAATCTTTCACAGACAATTAAGCATGTTGTCTTGATGATCGACAGCCTCTGCGGCAGGAGATGTCAAACTCATTCTAGAAGCAGCTGACAGGAGCAGTTTTATAACAAGTCTCTGGTCCTCAGATGCATGATGCTAGCTTTTGAATGATAGATAATCTTTGTTTAATGGCCACCTTTCTTAGACAACTAAATACAATATATGATGGTGAGGTGTATTAGAAGGCGAGATTATAGATCCATGATCTGTGTACACTGCTGTGTTAATGGTGTAAACAGTAAGTGTTTACTGGGAGAGTGCTGTTGACTGAGAAAGTCTAGTGTGATGTGACAGTGATGAATTATTGCTCCCCCTGATCATTGAACTTCAATGTGATGTATTTCTGTGAAATATGGTATTTATCCATACACACGATGGAGCCAAGTGATCGGAGCAAGATTCGTTTTTGAAAGATTATGAAAACAACTTTTCTTTGTAATGCTGTGTGCTGATGAATTGTTCAAAATGATTGTTTTAAGCAGGGTTGTGCGCCATTCAGAATTGATTTAAGAATTTCTCAAAATGAATTGAGGAAGCAAACAAGATAGAAAACGACACTTCAAATATGAATTTAAAAATGATATGAAAGAAGCTACATTTTAATTAGAAAAGCAAAGTTTGTCAGGGGTAAGACAGACTTTGAACATCGGCTTGAACATAAAGTTATTGACAGATAAATATATTTTGGGTTTATGTTTTTGAAAATGTTTTTGTTTTTTGAAAGTCTCTTATTCTCACCAAGGCTGCATTTATTTCATAAAAAATACAGTAATATTGTAAAAATTTTATTAGAAAATTTCTATTTAAATATATTTTAAGATGTACCGTAATTTATTTCTGTGATGGCAAAGCTAATTTTTGTTGGGGGGCTAACACATTACAAGTAATGTAAGTTATGTAATCAGATTACTTTTTTCAAGTTAGTAAAGTACTTTAGTATTCGTCAAAATGAATAAAAACAGTGAAAAGCAAACTTTTATAAATGTTATAATTTTTTACAAATTTATAAAAGAATATTACACAAACCTTCAATAATTAAAT